TTGTCGAGGAATTTGAGGACCATAAAGAATAGGTACACGAGATTGAGAATATTTCATCATTATATATGTTGTCGCCTGTGGATGATGTTTCTGAAAAGCATAGCGTTCATTAGGACGTCTACCTTTTCGATTATCGTTTTGTTTTATAGGTACTACAATGTCCGATAAATATTTCAAATCTGCTGCATTCATCTTCTTCTTGTACAAGATACTGACAAAATCATATAGACATATGTTGTTCAGAATTTCTGACCGATATTGATAATCAATTCGTGTATTAACAAGCACATGTTTTTCGTCATTTTCGGATGCCTGAATCTGGAACTGTTCTTCAGCATTATTTTGATCGTCAATAGCTTCATCGTCACATATATAATCGTCGATGACATCTACGTATGATAAACAATAAATTTGTTTTATTTAATGATAACAACACGATTCAAACGCTCTATTATATCTTCCTTCAGCATACTCAAAAATTACGACATTGAAAACGGTTTCTTGCTAGGAAATAGATAGTCTGTTACCTCTATATTGCAAAAATGACAGTACCACATGGATTATAGTACTTTTGATCTATCAAACAGTCAATAATTTTATTTTCAGGTAAGTTTTTGGTTAAACAATATACTTTATCATGGTCATATATAAGTACTTTAAGACATGAATTCAAATATCAATATACTTACCATGCACTGTAAATGTCGACTTCTGTTTGGTACGTATTTCGTTCAATTCACCTTGTAAAAACAGTTCAGTTTGAATTAGATAGAGGCCTTGAAACTTGTGCGTTGTATAATGATCCTCCCAGTTCATAAGATAAGAAGCAACTTGAGCTCCGGATAGCTCTTGTTGAGAAGCAAGTGTATTGTAACAACGTAGGACGAGCTTACGTGATTTCTCGATTGGACTTTCGTTTTCTGACTGATGAAATGAATTATTCATCGATGTAATGCCTTTTTGTACAAGAGCAAATGTATCATGAAAAGATAGACTCATTTTTGTGACATAATCGGTGATATAATATACAAGAGCCTTGGCATCACTACCAGTCCACATAAATTTAATATCCATATTGGAACGACATGCCGATATAATGTATTCATTAAAATTATTTATCATTGGATGCGATCGTCGCATAGAAATATGACCAGTCTCTGGATCAATTGTCGAAACTGCTACTAATTTGCGTGGCATACGCATTCGACAAATTTTCTTTAGACTTTTACTAATATTGCAGTACTTGTAGCATGTGTCAGTATGGTTATGAATGTTGCTTGCTTCGACGACTCGTACTACATCTGCTTGGAATCGTGATGCAAAATTTGGTGACGATGGATTTAGAGTAGGTAAGCAAGCTGGATTTACGTTTGATTGATTATGTAAAACATTATCGACTAAAATATCAATCAATGCATTGTTTCTTTTTTTATAGTTACAATAGTTTACCAGATTTCGATGGACCATGTGTAGGTGTTTGTGAAGATGTATGTCGTGATGAAGAACCATTAGATGTTGATGGAGAACCATGAAGATTTGGTGGAGAAGCATACGGAATTGATGGAGAACTATGAAGAGTTGGTGGAGAACCATAAAGATTCGGTGGAGAAGCATAAGGAATTGATGGAGAAGATCGTTGTTTCGTTGGTGTCGATTGAATACCATGTTCATTTGTATTTTCTTCTAAACCTGCCAAATCAATAGTACGTAAAGCTGCATAAATGTTATCTCTCGATAATTGTGTTGGAGTATTGAATGACCTTGATGCTGTAATATAAAAACAGAATGTGATATTTAAATTAAAAAAGAATCTTATATACCATCTGAATTCTCGAACACATATTTATCTTTGAATTCATCTAGATCTTCTTTGATAATATCTTCTAGATACGCTTCCAACTTCTCACGAAAAGTAGAATTTTGAACTTGCTCTTTCATATCAGCCGGTTTCATGTCATGATCAAGCCAAATAAGAAGATGTAGATGAAGAGAACCTCGTCCTTGACTTTCAACAGTACCGAAATAAGCCTTTATTGGCCCAAGAACACCGTCAACAATTATAGTCTCTAAGATATTGGTGATTAATAAATGAAAAAATTTGGTGGTAGCTACAGGATGAGATGCTATTATTTCAGCTCTTTTGTAAGTATTGAGCAATTGTTCCATTTGAATGTTGTCCAAATCAAGCTTGACACCCGCAAAATATAGTGCGATGGGACTATGAATATCGGCTGGATTTAACGTCATAAAGATGTTAGGTAGACATTGATTATATATTAACGAATGAATGCGAGTTCGTAAGGCCGTGCGTGAATATGCTGAGCCCATAACTCGACCACCGATGGTTTTGATATGATTTAATAATTTGTTTAATGCACTGTTTGATTCTGAGTTATATGTTTTTTTGGAAATATTCTCGAGAGCGGTTTCGATGTCTTTACTGTTTAACGTTTGGATATCTTGGGCTGATTCTCGAAAGTACGGTTTCGTTGTGATCAATTGAGCATGAAAACAAGCATTACGTCGTTGCAATATATTGAAGACCACAAATATAAAGCTGTGATTCGTTTCAAAACGTCGATCATTGTAAGATAATAGGTAGCGTATATGTTCTCGTAAATTCGTTTTAACAGGACGTGATTGATCGTCAGGTGCACCACGTCCATAACAGAACAGAGTAGGATACAAACCCACTAATAATTTTGGATTATAATACTCATTAACAGGTTTTGAAGAATGAGGAATTAAATGAACTCTTTCACTGTTCATTTGTTGGTGTGTTTTGTTATTTTTCATTTTTTGCAAAACATAATTTGCAATTTCATCTGAAGATACCAAAGAGCCATTGACGTCGAGAACACTACTGAAAATGACAAGATTTAAAATGTTACTTTTTAAAATTAAATATTTGTTCTTACCTGTGCTGTATGGGAATAGTATCTGAGGTTGTGTAATCAGTTAAATTAGATAGTGGATCAGGAACATAGCCAACTCTTTCAGACTGAATTTCTTCATCACTTATCTTTTGCTCCATTGTTGACATAATAGATTCTGGTATGTCGTCTTCAGGTAGTTGAGCAATATTCTCAAGATTTATCTCAATATTCTGATAGAGAATATTATATTTCTTCAACCATTGCAAAGCCTGAATAATTTTTTTCTTTCGTACTGTTAAAATTTTTCTAAGATGAATACGTTGAGGAGGAAGAGAGCCAACAAAAATGACTTTTATCGTATCACATAGATCATTGAGTTTAAGTGGTAGACTGTTGACAATGTCCGGTACATTTTGCAGAAAAGTAATACAGTTGCCTTTTAAAGCTGTTTGTGAAGTTGTAGCTGAATGGAAAGGTGATTGAAGTTTTATTATACAGCTATTGTGACGATAAAGTGATATTAGCTTTTCTTCTGGAATTGTTAAGCCTTGTAATACAGCAGGTATGTCGCCAAACCACATACCATTGGCAACAGAAAATTTAGGAATGTGTTTTTTCGATAAAGCATCATGGCATTTTTGACAGAGTGTGCACATATCCTTCTTGTTCTGTTGAAATAAGCCACTAGTATATAAAATAATATTGTTTTCACAATAAAAAGATGGTGACTTGGAAGTTAAAATAGTAAAAGCTTATTGAAGAAATATTCAATTACAAATAAATGTATATTACTTTGAGCATGATCAGTCGTTTGTATACCATCAGTATTAACAGTAGTTACGATGCGTTCATTTATGTACTGTAAATTCGATAACTGGGAGCCCATGATCAGAGCTTTAGTTTCGTCTGAAACTTTCAGTAATTCATTGCTAGTAATTTTTGAGACAGGTACTGATTTCGACTTTTGCATCGAACTTCGAATGTTGCAAACTGCACACGTAGTTTCGGCTAGTGCTGACATGGACATTCGATGAAGAAATTTTTTGAGACATCCTTCTTTCAAATCACGAGAAATTGGTTCAGGCCAAGAAGAAGTCGAATTTCTAATCTTCGGTAAGATATTTGAATTTGATGTAGAATGAGATATATTAATACCATCTTGTAATGTGACTTCTTCCGCTCCAGCAGATTGCATTTGAGTAGTTTGTTGTTGAATACTAATATTATCGGACATGCGTTTTTCATTTTTCTTTTTTTCTCTGTTTGCTTGACTTCGTTTTCTTTGCTGTTCGAGTCGATTAAGACGGTGTTCCTCTGGTTCATTCTTTCGACGCGATTGAGTACGGTGCTTGTCTGCATCCAGTCGATTTTGCCGCTGTTCTTTGGTTTGATTCATTCGAATCGATTGACTGCGGTGCCTCTCTTCCTCCAGTCGATTTTGGCGCTCTTCGTCGGTTGCGTTCAGTCGACTTGATCGAACTCGTTCTTTTTTCTTTTCAAGACGAATTTGACGTTGTTCTTCTTTGTCATTGTGATCGAGCAACATTGTATCAGACATGGTCGATTGAGAAGAATCAGTGTCTATCTTAATTTCACTTCGTAAACGTCTGCTAGGAGATGATTGAAACTCAGGAATTCGTATCTGGATGGTAGCATTGTTCTTAAATGTTTTCTTTTCAGGAGTCTAAATAAATCTTAAGATTTATAAATTCTAGTTCATAAATAAAAAACTTACCGCAAGAACTAACGCTAGTTGATTATTATTATCACGCTCATGTTGAATCAATCGTGACATAAGTGGAACAAAATGATTGGGGCTCCATGTTGAATTATTTTTAATTCTTACCTCGTTTTCGTTCAAGGTATGTGACCACAATATTGTAATTTCACAATTAGCAACAGTAGGTAGAACAGGCATAAACGTGTTATTCACGATGGCTGTATGATCTCGAAGATCAATTTTTGGATAAATACTCCGTATGTTACATTTAAGTATATTGCATAATGCAGTAATTTCATACAATTCCGAAAATGTGGACTTTCTGCACATAGCTTGAATTGCAACATCAAAAGGTCCGACGCAATGTGAGTACGTATTTGAATAATAAGTCTCATTCGTCATAAGTTCTATAACTGTTCGAACTAAAATAAATATCGAGAGGCAAGTTATGTAATAAAATAATTGAAAAAGATTTATATACCTCGTAATTCACTCAATGTCACTGCTGGGTTATTCATTAGAAGAACAATGGAATGATATAAACAATTTCCATCGGCAATGACATCGACTGGAACAAGATGATGTACATCACTAGTAGCCTGTTCAAGATATTGCTTGGCCACTACATCTAACATATGTTTTTTCGGATCGAAAACTTGATTTGGTCGGAATTCATATGGTACCATAATTGATTCAACCTTCAAAACTCTATTTGTAAATAAATTAGTATTTTAAATAACTCACTTGTCGAATACTTTGTACGAGGGTAGCAATCTCGTCATAGGCCATTATACTTTGAGAACATTTGTCGAGATGCTGAAGCAATTGAGAAAAGTTTTGACTACGACTCATTTGATCGCATCGTGAACAACAGCTACTCCCGCATTGCATAGAGCAGAATACACACCGTGTGTTCATCTTCAATCTATTTTAATAATTGTATATTATTATCTAGAATATATATAATTGAAGAATATATAAAATCTTGTTTTGTGAAATATTAAAAATAGATATAACTATTCTATGCAAAAACTTATATACGATCGAGATTCTTCTGCAGATAGTCCAACTAGAAGACAAAAAAGTTCTTAGATAATTATTCTATTTTATCTTATTTTTTATGACTGAAATATGTACTCGTATTCGAGTTATTTTCTAGGAAAATTCAGATTTCATTATCATAAAAAGAATTTTCCAACGCCATCTGTAATAATAAAAGTTTATGTCATAATCGAAGTCGATTTGGATACTATGGCTGGTGTAGATGGATCGTACGAGCCAACATGCTCAGCATTGACCAGATTCGATTAAAATCTATCAGTCTGAACAGACTTTACAAAAATATTCGCTTGTTTGGTACAATAACCACTCATGATTCAATCCTTCCAACCAACGATTAGTATGAATCTTATCAAGATAGAATTAAAGAAGTAATTCGAATTCTTGTTAAAGTTATATGATTCGATCGAAAATCAAATTCAGATTTATGTTATTATATTTAATAACTACAAGTAAATTTTTATCTGCATTTATATCTAATAGGAAAAATATTTTGCTGAATGATAGATCACAAGAAAAAATATGACATATGAGTATTACAACAATCTTATTTAAAACTCAATTCAATATATACTAAATAAAGAAAAATAATAATAAGTACATTATTTTTCTATGTCTTTTACCATTATGAAAACTTACTCTATGAGCATAATAACAGAACAATAGAGATTAAAGACAAGTGTACCTCCTATTTTTTTTCAATTCAATACTGTTACTTTATTTATTGATATATAACAGATAGACTACAAATAATACAGCTGTTACTAGTATCAAAATATGTCCTACAAATAGTAGTCATAGTACCAATAAATATAAACCAAAGTGGTGATATCGAAAACAAAGATACTAATAAATTTGATCTAAACAAAATTATCAATTTTATTTCTCTTAAAATATTTTTTAGTGTGCATATGATATGTTTTAATAGTTATATTTGCTGATATTAAACATTCAGCAATAGAAATTGGTAGTCATCTATCTTGTTTATTTGCTGGTTTCGTAGTAAATATTGAACGAAAAAGCATAAAGATTGAAAGATTAAATAAAGAAAAAAAAGCAACAAATATACTCTAAACATATTTAAGAAAGTTTGATTTTTTTTAAAACTCTCAATTTAATTTTTACTTGAGTTTTATCTCTGATGAGAATAATTCAAGATAATAAATATTCAAAATGGAAGTAACAAATACACCAAACATTTGAATTATTAACTAAACAAACAATAAATTTAATCATTAACTATGAAAAATCATTCAAATACTAACAGTTATGATATTATTCTTTGTAAAAAATACAGGAAAGGTCATTATCACTCATAAACAACCAATACATATTGCTAGATAATTAACAAAGAAAGATATTTGAGGAAAAAATAGTAGAGAATTATTTTTATATAGCTTTTTTGAAAAAGTAACTTGTTCTTCATTTAACATTAAATATTTTTTTGTTAATTGCTTAGAAATATCTTCAAGAATAACTGTTGCTATACTATTAGCTCCACTTGAAAATGTACTTAATGTTGCACTTAACATACATGCAATAGAAGACCTGCATATCCAGAAAATCTTCGTGATGTTTCAATTGCAAATAATGGATAGATCTAGATTGAAATCATTTTCCATTATAATCATTTTCTTATTTTTCTTTTACTTGATATGATCGAGAAATAATTTTAGTTCGAAGACGATCACATTGACTATATTTATTATAGAGTAAGCATCCAACCCATAAACATAATATATGCATAGATACTAACATAATATAATTTGTCCATACAACTCTTTTTAGAAAATAACAAATTTTATTTATTTATTTATTTATTTATTTCTTCAATGAATACTTTTGTGCAACTTTTGTATCTTTGACAGACATATATCTTTGTGCTTGGGTTTGAATACAAGCATATTGAGCTGTGCTTGAAAATATTACACTAATAAATATATTCCACATTGTATAACGAATTGATGGATCAAAATCAACACTATAATAGGTAAAATAAGATTTTTAAAAATCCTTTTTTTCCATTTTATTGACATACACAGAAAACTGCAATCGATTATTAACTTTCACAGTTTTATATAATTTAGATATTCCACCTGCGTCAGTAATATCTTTATTCGGATTTGATAAAAAAAACTAAAATAATCTTTGTTAAAAAAAGAGAGTATATATATATATACCAATAATAGTTGATATAGTCAAACCAATAATTATAATCGATGCTTCTATAACATCTGTTCCAGTGACTGCTTTTATTCCTCTCTTAAGTATTTTCATCTATAATTGTTATTTATTAATTTGCAAACTATCTTACAATACTTGTATAAATTATAAAAACTATTCCACATAATCCAACTGCAATCTAAATATTTAATCCAGTTACTTGACTTAAAGCTAGACTTGGTCCATATAAAATAACTGCCATTGAAAGAATCTTAACAAATTCAATTTATAATTAACAAAAAAAATAAATTGAATTTCTACTCGCAGTGATATAAAATATAAAATAAAACTAAATGTTACTAAAATACGAATTGTTATTGGAAAACGTTGTTCAAGAACCTAATAATCATTTAAAATGTTATTTTATATTATAATTTCAATCAGGAAATATTTAATACACACAGCATAAAAACTAGCACTAACAATATAATGATATTTTAGGATAAAAAAATTCATTGTTAAATGTGTACCAATAAACCAGAAATACTTTTCAATAATTAAATAAATAATATGTAAATACTCTTTTAAATAATAACAGCATACTACAATAGATAAGCATTGTTTCATAATAATAAAATTCAAAAGGTATTTCTAGTAATGATGCAGCAGATTATAAAGTTGTCAATAAACTCATTGCTGTTGGAATTATCTAAATGAATATATAATTTATAAATTGTTTTTTCAAATTATATTAAATAACTTTCATTCGACCATCAGCAATAAGAAATTTTTTGGACGAAATTTGTTTGATCGAATATAGCTTTGAGAAATTCCAGTACCACATGATAAAAATAATGTTACTTAAATAACTAAATTATTAATTATTTATCTTTCAAAAGAAACCTATGCAAAAGTAAAATTAAAATAATATAATCAATTAAACCGAGATATATTTCAAATTCTTATTATTGTCCTTCAACGTTAAAAAAGATGATATTTATTCTTCATATGGTCATATCACAAAGAAATGAAGAATGAGAAAAAAAAACGTCAGATGAATCAAATTTTCATATTTAGATAAATGTTTGCAGAGATTCATCACAATTAGATTTTATATTAATCAAGTCACTCATCAATATGACATTTTCAAAGTTAAAAAACAAAAAGAAATTAGTTTGTGTAGAAATATATTTATTATTCAGCTCCAGTAAATCTCGTTCTGTTTCTAGAACAAATATTGTGTTATATGTGCAACTGCATAACTATTTTATTTTACACTCAATAAATAATGATCGTACAAAGATCATACTAATTCTTTATATGATAAATAGTATGGAACAGTATCTAACTCTACATTATACAAACGATTTTCAACTAAAATAATTTGTTAATGAACAAGATACATATATTTTATGTACATATCATTTGTATCGTTGCATAGACAAACATTGCATATTCATCTTTTTTTGTCTTTTATTCTATTATATTCAATATACGTTTATATTCTAACAATTAATATGTCCTACCTCATAGATAGTATTTGAATAAACGATAAATAGAGATTGTATCCCTCTACAAAGCAGAAAAGCCCATGAAACATATTATCATGTTCGAGTAATTAGTCAATCTATCATATAAGTGTTATTTTCTTATTAATATCTTCATTTTTCTTCTGTTAGAAATTGATAATAGACTATCTCTTTGCCTAGAAATAATACTGAAATATCATTCCTTTTAAATCAACATCAGTTTTTAGAAAACGAAATAGTTTGTTATTTCCATCATATTCAAATGGATCTGCATAGTTTCGCTTTCTTAGTAACATACTACGACAAGAGCTCACAGTTTAATTGAGTTTATATCTTGTGAATACTCATTTAATAAATATTTCTACTTGATCAAAAAAGTATCTTTTTGTACTATTTTTACGTACTATTTCAATTTTAATATCTAAAAATTATTCATTAATATTCATATAGAATATAATCATTTATTTTCTTATCTGAATTTCATAATGCTCATTCATCATGTGAATATCATTCTATTTTTGTTCCCCAACTATCGATCATGTTGATTTTTATACAATGACATTTCGAGTAATCTAAATGATTTTGATTAAGAGTTTGGGTGTGAGCGTGAAAGCATATAACTGTCATGATTCACACTCTTTTGAACTTTACTAATACAAACTGACAACTATATATTTAAAAACTAGTAGTAGGAATACGATACAAGGAATCATGTATAATTAAAGCAGTGTTTGAATAGAATTTTAAACATTGATTTTGAAAGAAAAGATGACACATACATCACAGAATTGTTGAAAAGAATGGGCACATCAATTTAGTGATTGAGATAATATCTTGTATTTTTTTTTTGTTTGCTTTGTATAATTTTCTTTTTAGACAAATTTTATTTACTATCTGTAAATAGGGTCAGAATATGATGTGATAGTGTAGCTATAATAGTACTCTTTTTCATACAGCCACATATTCAAACAAGCAAATCTTGTAAATCTTATTCGACAATCATAAAACATTGATTTTATTTGTTAAGAAATTAGTGCAGTTCAAAATTACATATATCATACTCGAACATGGTACTTGTCATATAATATCACATTATTTATATGAATCATATAAATCATATAAAAAGCTAACTGTACCATTTATTCCTGCTAAGGAAATCTAAATGTATATATACGTACATATGCACCTCTTGAAATCTAGCCAAGAATAACCAGAAAGAAATTTATAAAAATAAGAATAGAAAAAATTTTAACATATAATCAAAGTGATAAAAGATAAGTCGAAATTTTTTAAATCAGTATAGGACACCTCTCTTGTTGAAACGGTATATATTTCATCGTACATTCAGTTTTATAGATGAAGATTAGTCATAAATATATTATTTCATATACTCTTTTACATAGATATAATATTCAGATAAAGATAAGAAGTAATGAGAGCATATGAAGGTAGTATTTCAAACACAGATACTTACAACGTTTTCTAGAATAAACTTAAGAATTTCTTTTCAAAAGATTCTATAATAATTTTTTGAATATTTTTTATAACAATATAAATAAAAATAGACACGTCTTATTTTTTATCCTATAACAATCAAAAGATTAACTTCACTGCAATCATTTTATTGTAAATCAGCAGTCTAATAAATCTATATTGTTGTAATTCTAATAGTATGACGTTAATCAGTTTGTAAAATTGTAGTTTTTCAAATATTAGCTCTTGATTTTTTATTGATTTCGGTATTGTTGAACATCAGTTCTAAAATGTTTTAAACTGAATTGACTTAAATAAATTTCACGTTGACGTTACATTGTTGTTGTTACAAGATAATAATCTTTTGGACGATCTTTTCTTATATCAATTGGTAGATCATCACCTTGGCTATTTGCTCCTAATATATCAGATTCACCAAGAAATTTTTTTCTAAGAGCATCAACTATATTAACAAAATGCATACGATCGTTTTCACATATTGATAAATTTACAACAACAAATAATAACAGATTTGGTTTCGAAATACGTAATGGTGGTTCTGAACCATCAACAAAAGCCGACAGTTTATTATATCGGACAAATTGTGAACCAGATGGGTCTAACGGTTGCTTTTTTTGCATAATGTATATCATAATACGCATCTATTAAATCCTTTATTAAAATAAAATATAAATTCAAAAATTTTCGTTTATTTTGTTTATCAGTTTCCTTGTTCAACATTTTCTTGTGCTTGAGAAAACGTTTCTAATACAACTGCAATATATATTTATTTTAATCAAATTCGAAAATTGAAAACTAATAAGATCTATTGATAGTTTATACGACAACAAGAGAAGTAGTTTATACAAAAGTGACAAGAAATGGTGTTGCAATAGCCATATTACCATGCTCACCATTTTTTGATGATAATTTAAAAGTTGGATCACAATCTGGTTGTCGATCATTTGTTAATGTTTGAAATACACCAGATCAACGAGCAGTTGTACAAATTTGAAAAAGTACAACTATCGAATTAGGAAATGTTTCACAATTAAATAAATCTGTTATACCAGCGGATTTTCTTATATAAACAAAAAATGATATTCCAAATATTGAACAAATAAAAGTTTATATCGTAATCGAAGTCAATTTGGATTCTGTGGCTAGTATAAACGGGTCAGACGAGTCAACCTCCTCAGAGTTAACCAGATTCAATTGAAATCGATGAGTTTTAACTGACTTTAAAAATATTCGATTGTTTGATACAAAAGCCTATAGTGATTCAATTCTTCCAACCAACGATTAGCATGAATCATATGTAAATAGAATATCATCCGTAATGAAAGACACGTTTATCTCTTGTCTTCATTATAAAAACAGTTTTTTTTATTTTGATAATTCTTCTTTATGAATATATTCTCTATAAAAAGCTTTAACTAATCTCTTCGTTTTCGAATTTTAAATAAAGTTACTCGTAAGATATAACTTTGCTTTTAAATAAAATATTTTTATATTTTCAATTGTCTGAATTACAAATTATTATGTTCGTTACATCTGTATACCACTCTCTGTCATATGGACAACTCGTATTGCAACTCATTGGAATTACTCGTAGTCGTTAAACTGCGAATCGTGGTCGCTGAATTAGCGAATCGGGGTCGCTAAATAGCGAATCGTAGTCGCCAAACGGCGAATCGTGGTCGCTGAATAGCGAATCGTATTGCTAGTCAAAGACTAGACTTTGGATATACTTACCAGTAAGCAGATGAAATTGTTCAAAGAAAGAAGTTTTTTAAAGTAACTTGATATACTTCAACAGTAATAGAAGATATTTTTATTTGTACTGTTAGAATCGAATGATCGTAGTTTCTATGCAAATCAAAAAAAATATTTATTTCAAGAAAAGTAACTCACTGATTTTTTATTTGTATGTAATATTTCTCGCTACACTGAAGATATAACTGGAATTAAAAAGTTAAAATGAATGAGTGAGTATTGAAAATACCGCTGTATTTATAATATGAGCTGCTCTATTTTTTTTCTTTCAAAACGATTAGTCTCATAAATCTCTCTTCTATTCTTATCTTTCGTTTGAAAGTAGCACGAACACTTTCTGACAGTTACAGACGTTATTAATATCTAACGTACGTAATCATTCTGCAGTCAGTTGCATGTTCCATGTAATAAATGATTGTTTATAAAAGTCAAGAATTCATCATATAATTTGTTTATAATAAATTTTATCCAAGTGCTCAATCTTAGTGCATTTGTATATGTTTATTATAAAATTAAATAAATTATTATCACGTACTCTGCATTATATACAAATCTTGCTTATTTATATTACATCATTTTTTTACCTATATAAAAACTAGGGCTAATCAAATGAGTTTGTATCATTCTATGTAAACTCACCATCAATTAAAAAAAAACAATTAAAAATTTATCTACATTTGATCGTAAAACTTTTTAGGACTGATAAAATGTTCTTTAACAAAAACACTTTTTAAAACAGTAGAAAATAAAAATTCTTCATCTTTTCTAGTTAATAGTCATCATTTTCTTAAGGTTTTTTTCTTTCTTACAACATCAGTATTACCTTGATAGTACTTGATTGATTAAACTTCAATCTCCTAAAATTCACCGTTCAGATATTAAGAATAATAATAAAATACTCGTCTAACATAAATTTCGATTTTAAAGCTTTCATAGATGTACATACATTAAAACTAATTATTATCATATACATATTGTAATTCTTATGACTTACTCAATTTTCAATAAAGTTCGATAGAATAAATATATTTTTCTTCTAATAGAAACTTCGATATTAATAGTGTTACATGTGTTAATGCATTAAAATATATTATTATCATATCTGTTTTTAGCTTAATTGAGCGATTCAATTGTCAAAAGATTTAAAATAAATAGAAAGTGTTACTATTCTGATATAGATTTTCACCTTAAAACTTTTGTAAATGTTATTGCATTAAAATGCATTACCTTTAGAACATGTGTATGATCAACTACATGTTAATTCAATATATTGAAATACTATTCTATTATTATTTGGTAAATATTGAACTTCATTCAATATTACGTAAAACTTAATTTAAATATATGATTGTCAAATAATTTATTTTGATTATCAACCACGACGCTCATGATGCTCTTATTTGGTATCGAATATAAATTTCTCTACGTTTTCTTACATTAAAAATCATATAGTAAAAATGAGGACATAATGAATAAGATTGCAATAATAAAAAAATACAATCATGTAAAATTGATGAAAAGATAAAAAAAGAACGAAAAATAATAGTGATGATTATCTTATGTTGTATATAAAAAGTTAAATGAGATAGAAATTATGAATATGAGGGTGGGTGTGAGTGTATATCTTCTCTTTTTCTTCATTCACGCATCCACACCCTACACCCACACTCCGAGGTTATTACAGTCTATAATATATAATATTATATACATATGAGATAGACATAGCATGTTGAACAAGAAGAGACTTTATGAATTTCTTGGAAACTACCTTCCAGCTTATAATTTTAGTTTTACTTTTCTACCCTCATCTATCTTTGTATGTGGATGACTATATAAATCATCTTGTCTACTAATTTCTGAAATTTCCCTGGAATTTCAAAATTTTCTTTGTATTTTGTACGGTCCATGTATAGTTATATATGTGTGATAGTATACATCATCTTCTCTATTAATATCACGAATTCTCTTGAAATTCGTAAGTTTCCTTTTTTCTACACTTAATACATCTTCATAGATATATCTACGATATTATACATTATCCTCTCTACTTGTATCGAAAATTTCCTTAAAATTTGTAAATTATTTTTATATTTTCAATGCTTTATCTAT